ACTACTTGTTACCACTTTAGTTAGTGCCTATAATGTGGCAAGCACTCCTCATGAGTTATAGTCTCATCAAAACTCATTACAATTCATAATAGCTGTGAAGTAGATATTATTAGTGAGATTTTATACATGAGGAAACTGAAGCTTCAAGAAGTGATGGAATTTGCTGTAGCTAACAAAGTTTCTAAGTAGAGGAGCAGGGATTCGAATTCAAGTCTGATTTCAAAGCTCAGGCTCTTTCCATTATAAAACATTAATTTGAAGTACCATTTAAAAAATCAGTTCACTATTCTATGTACTTTATGCCCAGATGCATAAAGCAATGTATGCATTAATATACTAGGTCTCATAACAGAGATTAAAGAATAATGTTACATTTTTAATCTCTGCATGGATTTCTTTTGCTTTTACTTTTGCATCATGGAGAATTTTAAACATGTATAAAAGTAGAAAAAACAGTGTAATAAACTCCCATACATAAATCACCCAGCTTCAACAAGTGTCAATTTATGGTCAATCTTGTCTTATCTATACTCACCCTGTTTCTTTCTCCTCTCCCATATTATTTGTCAGACATTATATCTTTAAATATCACAGTATGCCTCTCTCTAAAATAAAGAACTCTTTAAAAAAATTAACCATAATACCACTGCCACACTGAAAAAAAAAAGGTAGTTTTCTAATAACATAAAATGACCAGTGTTCAAATTTCTAATTCTCTCAGAGTTGTCATTTTTTGTATAGTTTGCTTGACTCAAAATGCACATAAAGTCCATACATTCGTTGGTAAACCTCTTAAATCTCTTAAATTTATCATTAACACGGCTTTACAATTTCCTTACTCACTTAACGCTATTTGTTTTTGCCAGGCTATATTTTTATTTGTTTGCTTGTTTGTGTGTTTTGAGACAGGGTCTTGCTCTGTCTCCTAGGCTGAAGTGCAGTGGCGCAATCTTGGCTCACTGCAGTCTCAATCTGCTGGGCTCAGGTGATCCTCCCACCTCAGCCTTCCAAGCAGCTAGGACCACAGGCCTGTGCCACCATGCCCAGCTAATTTTGTTTTTTTATAGACTGAGGGTTTCACCATGTTGCCCAGATTGATCTCAAACTTCTGGGCTCAAGTGATCTACCTGCCCTCAGCCTCCACAGGCATAAGCCATCGTGCCTGGCCTGCCAGGCTATATTATTTGGCATCAATTTACTATGACCTGAATGTAGGCTTGCCAAATCTCATCTCAAATGAGATTTTTAAGCTTCACGAAGTAGAATTTGTTCATATGGAAATATACTGAATAATCTTCTCAGAAACCCTTTACACTTTCCATAGAGATACTCAAAGAATCTTTAAGCTGGCAAGAGATTCCACTGGCCCATGTTTACCACTATAACAAATGTAATGTGAGTGACCACTGAACAAAAAAGAAAATTTATTAAATATAATATTCCCATTGTTTTTCCTAGATTTTTATTTAAATATTGTGTCATTTGTTTTAGACTTTGGGCCTATTGTGGGAAATTCAATCTAATTCAATGAATTTTTTATAGTAATCAATTTTGAAATATAAACATTATACCTTGTAATCAAATTTTTGATTTAAAAAACCGTCATTAACTCGTTTTATAAAAGGGGAAACTGAAGTAAATGAAGAAAATCAGCTTGCTCAACAACTTCAAGTAATATTGTCATCAAATCTAAGCACAACATTGATATCATTGTTTAGACAGCCAATTGATATCACCTTTTAGATACTGATTACTGAAATGATAAAAATTCCATGGCAAAAATTCTAATGGCTTTTCTTTGTAACTTTAAGTAAAAAACTAAGTAGAAAAAAAAATTAAGTAAGCAGGACATGAACTATCAAAGCAATATTATGTCTTATTGTCAAGTAAAAATAAAAAGCCTTTTTCATGTTCATCAATTATGTTTAACCTCATTAAAAGTGCCCTTCCATTTATGTCTCCTCTACATTAAAGTAATATATTCTTTGGATCATGTTTTATTTTCCCTATTTCCTTTTTGAAATAAACATCATTCAGGAAGTTGACAGTGGACCAATAAGAAAACCTAGGTGGAAATGTGAGAGAAAGAATTACCACTAATATACCATTATTATAAGTAGAAACTACTGGCTTTTTTTCACTATTTCCAGATTACTACTAATTCTCAATATCCCTTGCAATGAAACAGTGAAAAACAGTCATGAAGAGTATGGGCTCTTGACCTCTGGAGATAATGGGTTTTTTATTGGGGTGATGAAACAACCTCATATTAGATAGTAGTGATGGTTGCACAACTTGTACTATACTATACTATACTATACTATACTATACTATATTATACTATGCTAAATACCATTAACTGTACCCTTTAAAAGGGTAAATTTGTGGTATGTGAATTATATCTTGATAAGGCTGCTAATTTTTTTTTTTTTTTTTTTTTTTGAGACAGTTTCACTCTTGTTGCCTAGACTGGAGTGCAAAGGCACAATCTCAGCTCACTGCAACCTCCACCTCCCAGGTTCAAGCAATTCTCCTGCCTCAGCCTCCCAAGTAGCTGGGACTACAGGCATGTACCACTATGCCTGGCTAATTTTTTGTATGTAGTAAAGACGGGTTTCACCATGTTGGTCAGGCTGGTCTCAAACTGACCTCAGGTGATCCACCCACCTTTGCCTCCCAAAGTGCTAGGATTATAGGCATGAGCCACCGCGCCTGGCCAAGGCTGCTATTTTTTAAATGTGTGCTACTAAAAGGATTTATAAATAGTGGATCTTTTATAATTAAAGACTATTTTCCTTCCAGGCACCAGACCTGGTTTAGTTCAAATATCTTGAAGAACTCAAGTGTGTATTTAGGCAGATGCAGAGTTAATAAAATTCATCCCATCATCTTCTTGTACACAGGGTCCTGTCACAGATAAAAATGCTCAGAAAGTTTGGGGCCACCATTTCTATTCTTTCTCACTCCCATCCCAACACCACCCAGTCTTCCAGGGCTTTTAAGATTATTCTGCTAGTTGTTCTCTTTCTTACTTATTTCTAATCTTTTCACAATCTTAAATTGTCCTGTTGTACTTTATCTAGACCAGTTACTGCTCCCACCCATACCACCAGCTTCTGAAGCACATAATCAGCTAAGGTCTGATCAAAAGGGCAAGGTAAAAGGTACCCTTCCACTCACTGCCCCCTCAAAAAATATCTGTGAGAAGGCATGAGACTGGGAGCTAGAGCATGAGTTTTTCTATTTCACCTTTCCTTACATTTACTTCCAAATGCACAAAGATTCTGCCACATATATTTAATCATTGTCAAGAGGCAAATACAGTTTTCTGTTCTAAATAAACTATTTTCACTTGTCTCCTTGGCTGCTCTGCCTCTGCCCTCTTTCCAAGAGAGAAAGGGTGTGTAGAAGCTGCTTTATGTTAAAAGATGACTACAGTGCCACCATTACAAGAATCTGGTAAGCTGTGTCCTTTGTCTTTTTTAGTCCCATATAGTCTCTTGTGTTAAGCTCCAAAATTATTTTCTCTTCTCAACCTATTACTATACCGCATCCCCGACACTAATTCTTTATTTTTCCTTTAGGTAATTAATTCTGCCCGCACAGTTCCATTCATTTCTGCCAGTTCACAATCACGTTCTTTCCCCTGTGGATTTTGGTTAACATCTGTTAAACCCTGAACTACAGGGCCATCCCCTGAATAGTGTATTTCACATTTTGCAAAGCAAACTGCTAAATTATTACATAAAATTATCTACTGCTCAATCTATGTTTTCAGCTATAAATGCTTTAGAACAGTGAGATATGTAGTAACAGCACATCACATTATGTAAAACAGTATAAGTCCTCTGACTTTAATTTTCAAGAGTCAAGAAGCTTTGAAAATAAGATATTTTTATTTATTCAAGACAGCTTTAAAAGAAAGCTTTATAAAAACTTGAAATACACTAAAAGTATGAGCTAGAAAAATAACAATTTTAATAAAACTATTATAATCACTCACAATCTTAATTTATTTAAAATATTACTGTTCACTGACCGAGGTTGGATACAGTGACAACATTGAGAGAATAAAAAGTACTTTAAAAGTTTACAATTGGTTAAGAAAGTTATAGAGCAAAATAGTTTATAAAGCTATTTGTAAGTTTGATCTAAAACTCTGTGATTCTCTGGGAAAATAAAGCCCCTCCATTTATAATAAATTAAAATAATTAATATTCAGGTTGATGTTTCTGACATTCTCAAGCAGAGTACAAAAAAGAAGGAAGGCAAATACTTTAAAAGACATCCCCTCAAACTGTTTGAATTAAAAAAAAATTCAATTCTGAACCTTTTAAAAATGTTTTAATCCTGGCTTTTTTTTTTTTTTTAATTTTGTACACAGCTGTCTGTAGTACTTTTTAGAATCATGCCAGATGCTGGGTTCATCAAGCAAAAGCAGGAAAACAATGGTTTGAAAGCAATTAGAAGCACTGAGGCTGCAGCGAGGCTCATATTAAAATGTGATAACACTGTTCTAGTGGGAATTTCAACACTGCTCCATTTCTGACATTTCTCTGCTGCCAGACAGGCAGGCTGTGTGGAAGGGCACTGTGATCAAGGAGGTAACATACTGGAATTTATTTCTGGAGCAAATGAAGGATTAGCTGAGTTGGAACCGTCCCAAGGTTTTTATTATGGACTCAGCTACCATTTTATTTGAATGCCACTGGATCCTGTTTGCACCTAACAAAGCTCAAGGAATAAAAGCATATTATAGCTTTGATTTTATAAAATAATATAACAAAAATCCACTCAGAAGGTAGAAGCACAGAGCCTCTCATTGCTAAAAAGCAGGGCAGGGGGGCACAGCAGGGTGAAGGTTAATTAAACAGTCCACTAACTTTCCTTGGAAATGGCTAATGCCATTCTGTGGAGAAGTTTGTAGAGAAGAGATAGACGTAAACAATCCCATTTACACAATTTTAGCATAAAACCATACGTGGTCAAAGAGGACTCACCTTGGAGTTGAAAATCCCAATAGTACCTGAAATACAAGGAAAAAAGGGGGATAAGTCAAAGTTTTATTTCTCAATTTTGGTTGGCCTACCACAGCTATGGCACCTGGTCCAAAAAGCTTGCTAAAGTCTATAACCAGCCAAAGACACTACTCACTTTGAGAAAAACAAAATGTTGTCCCTAAGATTTGAAAGAGTCTCAATAGCTTAAAAGATACATTTAATTCACTGCACTTCCTCAGATGATTTTGATGTTACAGCTGAAAAGGTCCTAAAGGGAACCCAGCAGTGGCCTGGGGTTTCTCATCAAGAGCTCTACAGACTTTCAGCAGGATGGTTTTTTGTTGTGACAATCTGGCCTGTGTACTATAGGACCATTAGCATCACTGGTCCTGGGCACCAAACACCAGAGGCACTCCCAGTTGTTACAACAATCAAACCCCACCACCAACACCAACACATCCTGAAATGCCTCTTAAGCCTAATTTTTTTTTTCTCTATTACCCAGGATAGAGTACAGTGTCACAATCATAGCTCACTGCAGCATCGAACTCCTGGGCTTTGCCTCTTAAGCCTAAATTCTTAATTTTATAAGTGAAAAGTAACACTTTACCTAAGGTTGTCTAACATTTTCATGTCTGAGCCAAGAATGGGGCTCTTGCAGTCCACTGTACCTTCCTATCTCCTCTATTATTTTGGGAAATGATTGGCAAAACTGACAACCTTTGAAGTCTTTTTTTTTTTTTTTTTTTTTCCTGAGACTGGGTCTTGCTCTAACACCCAAGCTGGAATGCAGTGTCATGAACATCACTCACTGCAGCCTTGACATGCTGGGCTCAAGAGATCTTCCTGCCTCAGTCTCCTGTGTAGCTGGGACCACAAGCATATACCACCACAGCTAGCTAATTTTTTGGTTTTCTGTAGAGATGGGGTCTCACTTTGTTGCCCAGGCTGGTCTCAAACTCTTGGGCTTAAGCAATCCTCCCACCTCACCATCCCAAAGTATTGGGATTACAGGCATGAGCCATTGCATCCAGCAATCCTTGAAGTCTTAAGCTAACAAAATAGCAATGGTGGAAAGGATCATTTGTAAGTTACTAATTTGGAAACTAAATTGCATTTCTTTCCCCACAAAAACTATGTTATATATAATGCTTATCCAAGAAGGTCTACTATATTTTGGATCCCGTTTCCTCCTACCTTCACAGGAACTTTATATTATTCTTTATTGGTTTTTCTCCTCTTCCTCTCAGTTTGACCCCTTTCCATTAGCATTTACTCTCATATACAAATAAAGCAAACCCTCCCTCAGCCCTTCACATCCCTCCACCTGCTGTCCTGTTTCCCTTCACGTCACAGTGACATTTTCAAAAGCACTGTCTACACTTGGCTCTTTTTATTCTCTCACTGCCCACTCACTCAACATCCTCCAGTCAGATTCAGAGGCACTGCACATTAACTCTTGCTATAGACATAATATCCTCCATGCCGGCAAATATAAGGGATACATTTCTATCCTTTTCTTGACCTCTCAGGAGTGTATATGTGCGTGAGAGGATATTTATTTATTTTTACCTAGGGAGGGAGTCCACAGTTTTTACAGAATTCTTTTGTAGGGATGCCCAAGGGAGAGAATAGTCATGGGTTCTTAGTTTCTGTTTCTGGTGGGCCTGCAAAGCCCCTTACTCATCCCTCTTTTCCACTTATCACTAGAGAAAGAAACTAAAAATCATGGCTTCAGTCTGCTAAAAGCCTAATCCAAAACAAAACAGAACAAAAACAACAGCAACAACAAAATAAGGCAGGATTAGACAAGCTTGCAGTTTAAAGGGTCCCTTAAACTCAAAAAAGAAGCAGAAAAGGACAATACACAGGTGATAATGGTGTGTCTTCTAGTACATACATGACTAAAATTAGGCTTGGCTTCTTCAGGGAGGAGTATCAGCCTAGTGAGTATGTTTGTTATTTCTTTACTGTGTGATACATTTTCAGAAAATGAAGATGGAAGAGGTCAGTGGAGAGTAAGTATGTTGCCATAGTCCACAGGTGAATTTGGGGAACATTATCAAAGATAAGAAAGTGGAGTAGAAACCTGACAAATTGAATTTCCTCGTTCCTTTCCTTTTCCAGAACAGTTCTGGGCTGGCAATCAGGTGAAGAGAAATGTAAGATACTTAGGTTAGAGGGCAAGGAAATTCCAGGACAGCTTTGACATCTGCAGTAGCAAAGGGGAGAGGAAGGAGCAGAGGATGGGGTGAAAAGTGGAAAGCTTCAAAAGCTGGGAAGAAGTGTCCATATCAATTAGGGGCATATGTAAGCTGGAACTGGCTGAAACTGAAATAAGTTGTGGATAATAGTATGATGGATCAATCTCCACCTAGCACACGGTGCAGCTTTCCACTGTACCTGGCCGCCATGAAGAGTTTTCCATAAAACTCCTTTCACTAATCAAGCAAATCAATAAACGGCTGAGCAATTTTCCATCTGCTCTTGCTATTTTTCATCTTCTCTTGACGCACTGCCCTAGTCCCCAATTTCTATCATTACCCAACTTCTAATTTAATATAAATAGAAATTAGGGTTCGAGTATGTGCATATATGTACGTGCACATGTGTATGTACTCCCTCTCTGTATCTCTCTCTTCTTTCCAAAATGTTAATCATGGCAACACAAGAACTGTGCTAACTAATGTTGTTCTCTTTTATTGGCCCAGAAAAAACCCTAGTCGTACAGTGGCAGTTTAAAAGTGCTCTAGGTAAATTGCTAAATAGGCAAAGTATGCTATTGATGTTGATCTCAGCCTCTTCTGTGCCTCCCTCTCCCATAATGCCCACTCCAACTAACACACATTTTCAGTCCCTTTCTCTACCTACTTTAAAGTACCCTGGCTTCCCGGATTCTCTTGTTAGTCAAGAAGAAATATGATCTTATAAGTCACATATACAAAAAGTATTGCTTCTGCCAATAGTAGTTATATCTTAAGAACTCAACAGTATCAGGCCAGGCGCGGTGGCTCAAGCCTGTAATCCCAGCACTTTGGGAGGCCGAGGCGGGTGGATCACGAGGTCGAGAGATCGAGACCATCCTGGTCAACATGGTGAAACCCCGTCTCTACTAAAAATACAGAAAATTAGCTGGGCATGGTGGTGCGTGCCTGTAATCCCAGCTACTCAGGAGGCTGAGGCAGGAGAATTGCCTGAACCCAGGGGGCGGAGGTTACGGTGAGCCAAGATCGCGCCATTGCACTGCAGCCTGGGTAACAAGAGTGAAACTCCGTCTCAAAAAAAAAAAAAAAAAAGAACTCAACAGTATCAAATAAAGTAGTAGGTCCATTTAGTTGATGTTAAATAGCAGAACCTGCTTTATTCTTGGTAATACTGTAATTAAATATTTCTGTCGAACTTTCAATTATAAGATGAATAAATTCTGAGGATCTAATCTACAGCATAGTGACTATAGTTAATAATACTGTATTACATACTTGAAATTTGGTAAGAGAGTAGATTTTAAGCATTCTCACCAAAAAAAAAAAAAAAAAGGTAACCATGTAAGCTATGTAAGGTCATGAATGTATTAATTAATATGATTATGGTAATCATTTCACAATATGTATGTGTAGATATATAATCATATTGTGCATTTTAAATATATTCAACTGCATTTGTCAATTTAAAAAAATCTGAGGTTGAGTGTGGTAGCTGACACCTATAATCCCAGCACTTTGGGATGCCAAGACAAAAGGATTGCTTGAGCCCAGGAGTTCAAGACAAGCTTGAGAAACATGGCAAAAACCCATCTCTACAAAAAGTACAAAAATTAGCTGGACATGGTAGCACATGCTAGTCCTAGCTACTCGGGAGGCTGAGGTGGGAGGACTGCTTGAGCCCAAAAGGTTGAAGCTGTAGTTAGCTGTGATTGCACCACTGCACCCCAACTTCAGTAATAGAACGAGACCCTGTCTCCAAAAAAAAAAAAAAAAGAAGAGAGAAAATTCTGACAACAAAAATCATATGTAGAACTTGATGTGGAACAACAGCATGAAATAAAATCTTAGTTCCCTTCTTTTTCAGAAGGTATCTTGCTATCCTACCTTTTCTCCCTCTAAATATTATTTATGGATTAACCCTACAGGAAGGTTTTTTTTTTTTTTTTTTTAAAGACACAGCTCTATTCCAAAGCTCACAAAGAACACTTCTAAAGGAAAGCCCAAAAAGTGAGCAATTGCATCCCTCACTGGAGGGCACCACAGATTAGTCTCTGCTGGACTCCTTTAAGATCTTGGTCTTGTCTTGTTAAAGATACCCAATGGGTGGCCTTCATCATGTTCTCTGAAACTATAATTCCACAATAGAGAATCCTATACTCTTCAGGAGGCATTTAGTAAAATCCTGCCAACATCTTCCAATTCTTACCTTTTTTCTGAAAACAGTTCTCCTTTAACCAGAGAGTCCAAGAAGTCTGAAACTAGAAATTTTAAACCAAAATACAAAGACCGCAATAGAAGTATACAGAAGAAAAAGCATATAAATGCACACATACAGAGTTGTGTTTATCCTAAAAGCCTCTGAGAATTTTGTGTCAGGCCTGTGCAGACAGATAACAAACACTTCTTTAATCTTCTCTTTGAAGCTTCAGCTTCAATAGGAAAGGGAAGCTATCACTCCTCTGCAATATCCATACTCAATGTCATCAGGACCACGCAAATGATATTTGAAACTGAAAAATGATACAGTACAGAATGAGCAGAGAGAGAATGTTGCAACCGTATTGATGATGATCATTTTCACATTCAGTAAAAATAAACCCATCTTCACTTGTGCCTCTAAAAGTGAAAATGGAAGAATAAAATCTCACAATATTTTCTCTACGCTACAGAACAGAGTCTTAGAATTTTATTATTACATTGTACGCTAGACAGAGTTTGCTATTTGTGTTTCCAAATTGAAGACGTTTTGGCCAGGCGTGGTGGCTCGCGCCTGTAATCCCAGCACTTTGGTAGGTCAGAAGTTTGAGACCAGCCTGACCAAT